TAATTGTTCTTCGAACCTTTAAAGTAGGTTTCATTAGTAAAAAATTCCTATGATTTAGAGAATGGAAATATAAAACTAACCTTTGACTCTGGGTAACTAGTTGATTTTGTGAATCTTTTAATAAGCCTTCTAAAGCTTGGATACGTTCATTACGGGCAAGATTTTTTCGCTCCGCGATGATTAATGCTCTATGATAAGATTTTAATTGTTTGAACATTTCTTGTACATCCTCGAAATTTTGTGGATTCGATATATTTGTATCAATCAACGTTTTAACGGTTTTCAAATCCTCGTTTTCTTTCTCATTTTTACTCAAAGTATTACTTTTCTTATCTCTATTTTTGAAATCAATAAATTCTTGTTGAAGCTTTTTAATATCTTGATTTTTAATAATCGAGTCCGTTTCCAATTCTTCAATGCGAGCTTTTAAAGAATCGATTAATTTTGATTGAGTATCAATTTTCTCGTCATATCTCTCATAGATTTTTTTGATTTCAACCAAGGTATCCATAGAATTGTTTTGTTTACTCTCATTTTGCTGAACCAAATATTCTTTATAGGTAGTTTGTAAATCTAAACTCACTCTTATATATTCTTCAAACTCTTTAGTTTGTTTTTCAATTAATTTATAAAAGGGGTCGTTATGATCGTGATTGTTCATATTACATGTGTGGAAATCTAAAAGTTAATGGTCATTGCAAAATGTTTATACTGCGCCGTACTTTTATAGACGAGTCCCCTTTAAATAGAACGTTGAAATCAAAATAGAGTGACACACTCATTACGACATTGGGTAACTTTAATCGTGTGTTTTTTCACATGCAAATTCCTGATTTATCAAGGAATTAGAATTTCTGTCCTACCTTACACCATATTATTTTTCTGATTTTGGTGTTTGATGCTTGGATTTATAAATCAAGGAATTACCACACAAGGGAAGATTTCATTCCCTTTAATTTACCCTTTAATCATTGTTACAAATTAAAATTTACTGGAAGGAGGATAAATTTTCCAAAATTCTTCGCAATGATAAAAATGATCATACTGCACCATATCTTTACATGAAATTTTTACCTTAC